TTCTATCAGTTATTATTAGCAGACACTAGTCTTGTTATGTGATCCCTTTGACACTTAATCCTATCATTAGGATGGATTATGAACTGAAACTAATCACTCTGACTAGTAAGATGCCATTGGTACCTGTCACCTTGATGGGATCGATTTGGAATCCACTGGCACGTTTCTAGCTCTACCATTAGGGGTAAGTCTGAGTGAGCATGTGCCAAATTGTACATCTCCTCCCTCATTCCCACTCTTATATTTAACAGGGATCACTTTTCAGTTAAATTTAAACACCTAAGAATGATTGTGTGTTAATTAAAGAGTTCAACCAGTGCTATTAAGTAGAACAACAACAAAAAAAACCTAAACGGAATAAAATAGTAAGTTGTTCCTCGACAGTCAGGACAAGGGCTGATCAAGTGTCCATTTCACTTCTACACGTTTCCTTTTAGCACCTTTTAGGTGCTCAGTTAGTTGTCACAGATCAGGGAGAATTTCAAATTTTTTAGTGTAGGAAATTTCAATATCCTATTAATCAAACTATAAAATCTTAGATACAATAGTTATAGTAACGGAAAACTAACTCAAGTGAACTAGAAACGCATTTTTAACTGTTGTCAGTTCAGAGCCTCTGAGAAAATTACACATGGCAGAAGTTTGTTGAGGGAGATGTTTATGAAGGACACAGGGAGGAGGCAGGTGCAGTTGAGGAGAGTCCTCAGTCTAGAGCAAGTCTGACACCTGAAAAGGTAGGCAAAAAAAGAATTGGAGACAAAGGACCTCTGACAGCAGTATACTTAACTTACACGAAAATACTAGTCCGAATCATAATCTCAAAGCAAACATTAACTGTTACAAGAGCCCCCATCGAGTAAGAAGAGCCCAGTTTCAGTAAACCTCCCAGGTCTGGTCTCTGGCTGTGAGTGGCCTAGAGTTAAGTGTGGCCTCAGCCTGAGCATTGCAGGGTACCTGAGGGTCCAACAGGTGAAAGCTCTCAATCAGCTGCTTCACGTAGAGGCCCTCTAAGGGGGGTGTGAAGGGAACAACTCCATAGTTGCTGCATCTAGTTTCCCACAAGATTTTCATTTCATTTTGCTACACATATATATCATAAAGAAAATACAATAAATCTCTTTACCAAGACCCACAAAAATGTGACCAAATTTCCTCCTGTTAACCCTAGTATGTCATATGTTTTCTATGTCTATCTTCACATGTAAAGATTTGGGAAGCAATACTTTAAAACACTTATGATCTAGATAAAACCATCAGATATGAGGTGTGAGTATTTGGCACAGCCAACAAGACACAGCTGAGATGCCCATATCCCATACCAGGATATCTAAAATGCCTACCTAGTTCGAGTCCCAGGTCCATTCTGGATACACCTTCCTGCTAATGTACACTCTGGCAGGCAGCGGCGATGACTAAAGTACCTGGGTCCCTGCCACCCATCTGAAAGACCAGGATGGAGTTTATGGTCCTTGGCCCAGACCTAGTTGCTGTGCATATTTGGGGAATGACCCAGAAGATGGAAGATTGCTCGCTCGCTCACTCTCTCTGAAGCTCTGTCTTTCAAATAAATAAATATTTAAACAAATTCAAATTTATCAATTTCATTAAGAGCAAATTTTTTTGTTTCTCTAAAACCTTAAAAAAAATTACTGTTGGGTATTGGCATAGCACTTAAGACACTACCTGGGACACTCACATCCCACATAACAGTGCCTGGATTCAGCTCCTGGCTACACTTCCTGATTCCATTTTCCTGCTAATGTGTAGCCTAGAAGGCAACAGGTGATGGCTCAAGTAGCTGTCCCTGTCACACCCACAAAGGAGGCCAAAAGTAAGTTCCTGGCCCCTGACTTCAGCCAGACACAGACCCAGCAGGCATCTGGGGAGTGAAATCAGCAAATGGGAGATCTCTGTCTATAGAAAAGAAAAAATAAAATCATGGGACAATGACATAAAACAGTTAAAATTTTAAGTTGGGTAAACAGGACTCTAATGTTTTATTCTCTGACTTTCATTAGAGCAGTAGAAAAAAATGTTTTCATTCTCTGAATCAAATAAGAAAGTAGGACTGTCACTCAAAAATATGGCTATTCTGGAACATTTTTATTTGTGTTATTCCATTTTTCCATATTTTTCCAAATAGTCAATTATTGGCAGAAAAAAAAACAGTTTTGTTAGGAAAAAAGGGTGTCTGAACTCAGAAACTCAGTATGTCTAGTTCTAGAAAACAACTGTATTCTTAGAGATAGAGATCTTGGTTTACTACCATGAATGCAGATACACTATGAATTTGTGTGCTGATTTCATATTCAAGAAAATATTGGTCATAATATGGGTCGTAATGTAGTTTTCCTACACAGTGAGAACAGTAAGGACAACATGAATATCTAATGTGCTTAATAGATTCATTTGTCAAAGGTAATAAACTAAGCATAATGCTGATATGCTTCAGCTTCGTGAGTTTAGTGACTGAACAACTTAGGTCTGGTTGGATCTGAAATACTGACCAGATAATTCCTAAAAAGACAAAGCTCAGGGTCAGTAGCTGATGATTCTGTCAGGTAACAGCACTCAGTGAAAACGAAAGCACAGTCATCCAGGCCTCACATGAACGCTCCTCTACAACGGTCTTTCTCCGCACTTCTCTCTACTTTAGAAAGTAAGAAGATACCAGAGAAATGTAACACAAACGTGAAGATGAGTAAATGGTAAACTCACACATAAACGACTGAAATAAGAGCAGTTTTCTAGGAGGTAGAGGCAGGTGTGGATGGTACTTCTTTTAACTGTTTCAGAATAGTTTTAAATTCACAAACTAAAAACTGTACAAATATGGAAAGACTGACAGTACACCCCACATCAAGCTCCTTTTATTAACATCTTATATTAGTGTATTTCTCACAATCTATAAACCATATCCAACCTCCCCTATTTTCTAATCCAAACTCCCTATTATCCCTCCCACTCCCTCCATCCTCTAGTAATTAACATTCTCTGCTCATATTGTTTGTTTTCTTAGTTCCCACATACAAGTGTTTCTGTGTTCAACTTATTTCACTTAACAGCATCCTGTAGTTCCACCCACTTTGCTGCAAATGACAGGACTTCATGCTGTCATGGTTGAATAGTATTCCATTCCATATTTCACATTTTCTTTATCCATTCACCTGATGGACACCTTCATTGATTCCATACTTTGTCTATTGTGAAAAGTGCGATAATAAACATGGTAGTGCAGGTAAGTCTTTGACACAATGATTCCACATCTTTTGGACATATACCCAGGAATGGGATTGCTCAGTTGTATTGCAGTTCTATTTCTAGTTAAATAACAGACTCCTTTAGATATTATTTATGTACCACACAGTTTATCCAATTACATGCTACAGTTCAATGGGTTTTATTACATTCAAAGAACTGTGCAACCATCACAATGATAGGCTATTTCCTATATCCACTAACATCACTCCCCATCTTTACCAATTGTCCCATCCTTAGGCCACTACAGACCTATTTGCTTTAAATTTCCATGCTCTGAACATTCCATAAGTAGAATAATATGTAGTCTTTTTCTGATTAAATTCAGTTGGCACCATGTTTTCTGTGTGCAGGAGTTTTCAGGAGTTCGTCCATTTTTATTGCTGAATACTATTCCAGCAGATACAAAGCTTTATTCACACGTTCAATAGATGTCAGACATTTAAGTTGTATCCATTTCTCTGCTGTTATGAAAAATAAAAAGCAAACCAAAGAGAGGCCATGGCAGTTCACTAGGCTACTAAGCAAGAATAGACTCCAGCACACAGAAGGTCAGAGCAGAGGGCTTCCATCAAGAACAAGTACTGACTAGGATGAACTGGCCAGTACAGCCAGAAAATGATTTTAATAGAATAGAGGCTAAGAAGGGAAAAGCAGGTACTAGTATTTAAAGAAACTATTGGTTTTTCTTCTGTGTTCAATGTAAATGGACTTATGATTTAGATAACCTTATACTACTTGTTCTTCAAACTTTTCAGACTAAAATAAAACAGTAAGAACTTCTTAGCCATTTACTGGCAATCAAATATTAAAAGAACACAGATCATGAGTACAATTTCCATTAAGTTGTCTTCCATAGGAACTTTATGCTTCAGTGATACTAAAAATTTAGGTATCTATGAAGAAAATCCTGGTAAGACAAATACTGGAGTCTGGTAAGGAAACACTGATCTCATATAGTGAAAATCAACTACTTAAGCTAGATTTAAACACTCACTGAGCAGACACGCAGCTCACCCTCTCAGATCAAGTAAAATTTAGTTTGGACCTTTACTGATCTTACAAAAAGAGGATCAGCTAAAGGAGTAAGTAAAAGAATATATATAAAAGCAATTCAATATACACCTTTCCCTAATCTATTCATACTCCCACTGTTCTAATTCGAATTCCCTTCCTTCTCAGACCTCCATTGCCTCCCCACCCTCATTCCTGACCGAAGTCCCCCAGGCTGCTTTCCCGAAATAAATAAATGCAGTTTAACAGACAGCTTCCACAGTCTCGTCACATCCACTGGCCCACTTGCATCTGTCAGTGTCATGCTTCTTATCTAAGGCATCCATGCTCACTTGATGAGGTAAGCTGCGCTACCAATTTCCCATTCTCTCACCCCCAATAGCCCCCTGTCATAGGACAATTCCACAACACCCTTGATTGCATGCCCTTCAGCCATCATCCCTTTCTCTGTTCTGCAATCCTTCTTGAAAGCACTGTTTGCACAAGCTGCCTCCAATTCTACCCCTATCTTAAACTCACTCTAATCAGGCTTTCCTTACCCATCATTCCACCAAAATCAACCCTGTCAAGATCACCATCAGCCACCACGTTGTCATGTCCTGGTTTACTTGACTTGCACTGTTTCACACAGCTGATTATGCTTTCCTGCTTTAGAAACTGACTGCACTGGTCTTCCAGGACACCAGGAGAATCTTCTGTTCTCTTTAAACCACCCCCTACTCCCAGCATTCTTTTTTTTTTTTTTTTGGACAGGCAGCGTTAGAGAGAGAGAGAGAGACAGAGAAAAACGTCTTCCTTCCGTTGGTTCACCCCCCAAACGGCTGCCACGGCCGGCGCTGCGCCGTTCCGAAGCCAGGAGCCATTTCATGTTCCCAAACTTTAAAGGTGCCCCAAGGATAGATCTTTAGACATCTACCTTCGTCATCTGCATTCACTTCTCTCAGGTGATTTCATCCAACCACAAGGTTTTAAATATCACATCTACTCTTAAGACTCCATCTGCAACTCCAACCCAGGCCTCTCTCCTTAATTCCAGACTTGTGCATCTTGTCTACTCAGCACTTTTCAAAGGTCTGTTAGGTATCTCAAATTGAACATGTCTAAAGAGAGAACTCTAGATTCCCCCTAAACCCAATTCTCCTCCAACCTTTCCCAACTAAGTAAAAACTCTCAAGACTCAAATATGTAGAAATAAATTTGATTCTTGTCTTTCTCTCATTTCCTACAACTATCACCATCTATTCTCAATCCAGCAGCCTGAGTAGTACATTTGATACACAAATCAGACCCAATTGTTGCCCATCTGCGTGAAAGTCAAATGCCTCACAATGTTCCTCAAAATCCAGCCCTTACTATTTCCAGACATCCTCCCAATTTGCTTGTTCTGATCCGCAATGCTATTTGAAACCATATTTCCTATATCAAATTTTTTGCACTTAAAGATCTACCTGAGGGGACCAGTGCTGTGGCATAGCATATAAAGCCACCGCCTGCCATACTGGCATCCCATATGGGCGCCAGTTCAAGTCCTGGCTATTCCACTTATGATCCAGCTCTCTGCTATGGCCTGGGAAAGCAGTAGAAGATGGTCCAAGTCCTTGGGTCCCTGCACCCATGTGGGAGACCTGGAAGAAGCTCCTGGCTCCTGGCTTCAGATCAGTGCAGCTCCGGCTGTCGTGGCCAACTGGAGTGTGAACCAGCAGATGGAGGACCTCTGTGTGTGTGTGTGTGTGTGTGTGTGTGTAACTCTTTCAAGTAAATAAATAAATCTTAAAAAATAAAAAGATCTGAGAAGAAAAACTCCTAATCCCTTCATTCTTATTTTGTGTGTATGTTCTAAGGTCATTTTATTAGAATCAGCCCTGACTACCTTAAACACAAAAGTAAGCCAGTGCCGCGGCACAATAGGCTAATCCTCCACCTGTGGCGGTGCCACCCGGGGCGCCAGATTCTGTCCCAGTCGCTCTTCTTCCTGTCCAGCTCTCTGCTGTGGCCTGGGAGTGCAGTGGAGGATGGCCCAGGTCCTTGGGCCACAGCAGCCATTGGGGGGTGAACCAACGGAAAAGGAAGACCTTTCTGTCTCTCTCTCTTACTATCCATTCTGCCTGTCAAAAAAAAAAAAAAAAAAGGCAACAGGGGCTAACATTGTGACATAGCAGGCAGAGCCACCACCTGCAGTGCTGGCATCCCATATGGGCGCTGGTTCGCATCCCAGCTGCTCCACTTCCAATCCAGCTCTCTGCTATTGCCTGGGAAAGCAGTACAAGATGGCTAAAATCCTTGGGCCCCTGCACCCGCATGGGAGACCCAGAAGAAGCTCCTGGCTCCTGGCTTCAGATCAATGCAGCTCCAGCTGTTGCAGCCAATTGGGGAGTGAACCAGCAGATGGAAGACCTCTCTCTCTCTCTCTCTCTCTCTCTCTCTCTGCAAAACTCTTTCAAATAAATAAATGGCAACAGGGGTAGTTGTTTGGCCTAGTATTTAAGACCCTGGTTACCCACAGCAGAGTGTTGGCTTCAGCCCATCCTGCACTGGCCCATTGCAGGCATCTGGTTAGTGAACCTGCAGCAGAAGTTCTCTGCCTGCCTGCCCTCCTGCCTCTGGCTCTTAAATAAATCAACTATATATTGGGAAGGAAATGTCCAGAGTTTTCAAATCTTATTATATGTTTCATCTTTTGTTTAGATAGGGAAAAATGTTTACAGCTGTTATAGCAGGGGGGTCTACAACAAGAAATATATATTTTCCAACATTTAAATGATTTAAGTTTTTACAAATCATTTTCAAGCTTCTGTGGCTGTAGATTCTCACTGTGAATTCCTTGCTTGCTCATGCTTAAGTGTAATTGCAATACCAAATATACAAGTTTAGTACTTTTGCCTGTTAGTGATTGTTTCACATTCAACATTTTGATTGTGATGTTAGATGGTGGACAAATACTGTGGATGTGAATGCGGGAAGTAATTTTAATCACGTGTAGTTGGTCACAAGCCCTAACATTCAGTAATTATTGCTGTTTATTTAACAATGCCTTGTTGCTTTCTATGCATTAATGTTTGGGTTTAAAGACTGTATTTAAATTGACCAACCTAACGTTACACTACTTTGAGGTGGCCAAATGTAAACTAAAAGCCTTAATTAAAGTGGTGCAATTTTGCATAACTTAGCATCAATAGTATATTCATTTCCAATTTAATGAGTATCCTTTCCAACATTCCACAGAATGATGCCTTTTTTACAACCAACAAAACGTCAACAGTCTTAGAAACACAAATAAGGGGCCTGTGCTGTTTGGCACAGTGGATTAAAACCCCAGCCTGCAGCATCGGTATCCCATATAGGTACCGGTTAGAGTCCCAGCTGCTCCAATTCCCATGCAGCTCCCTGCTACTGTGGCTGGGAAAGCAGCAGAGGATGACCCAAAGTCCTGGGGCCCCTGCACCCTCATCGGTGACCCTAAAGAAGCTCCTGGCTCCAGTATGGCCCAACCCTGACCATTGCGACCATTTGGGGAGTGAACCAGCAGATGTAAGAGAGAGTTCTCTTCCTCTCTCTGTAACTCTTTCAAATAATAAATAAATATGTATAAAAAAAAAAAGAAATGAAAAGAAAGGAAGGAAGGAGAGCATTAGACACACCAAGAGTCCCCCATAGCCTGGAATGGGTGGGAGGCCACAGACTTAATCCAAAGGGAATCTCTCTCTGTGTCTCTACCTCTCTCTAACTCTGTCTTTCAAATAAATAAAATAAATCTTTAAAAAAAAATAAAAACAATGACTGACCACTTTTATAAATGTTTTTCTTTTTTTATATGTTTTTCTTTCTAAGTTATAAATGTCTTTATATAATATGAGAATTGTTTCCATAAGAAATAACAGCACTATCAAATAAGACATTCACTCATATGGTTTTTAAGACTGTAACTGCAACTATCCAATAACATGATGTAATGTAATCAAAGCACACACTCTTAAAATAGGCACTCATTCAAATGTAGTTTGTGTTGTGGGCTAAAAATATCACAATTAAAAATATCCTTATAGCAAGTCCACTTAATCTTTTAAGTATGCAGGACAATGATCCAGAGCAAAGCACCAAGTACAAAGAACAGCAGCAGTAATAAATACTTTCAAAGCCTATTAAATTTTAAACTTGAGATGTGGAGGAGAGAACATAGTAAAGACTTAATATTCATTACCAAAATGCCAAATATAGTTTATAGCCTAATACCAAAAAAAGCTAGACGCATCAGGAATTTGCATTTTAGTCTACGACTGATCAATAGCTAATATTTTGCAACACAAGAGTGAGAAAGCACTCCAGTACTATTTGCTTCCTGTTTTATCTACAAAGAACAGTGCAAAATCATTAAAAATTCTTGTGGATATGGAAGAACTGAGAAGCTAGGCTAACCTGATAACATCACTAACAAATATGCAGAAAAAAAGCCAAGGAACTAAATTAGTATGGTAATAGGAAAAGTACATGAAAAACACAAAGAAAGAAACATGGCAATAACTAAAATTGGATATGTCCGTTCTTTACATTGTGGTCTACATTCTAATGGAAATAGAAAACTTAATCTGATTATCACAGCTTACGTATGTGTGCCACTGCATTAACACTGTACTGAAGTTCTGTTTTAAGGTTTTGATTTTTTTTTTTTTTTTTTACTTATTTGAAAACCAGAGTTACAAGCAGGAGACACCGAGAGAAAGAGAGATCTTCCTACCAGGGCTGGATCAGGCGGAAGACAGGAGCCAGGAGCTTCTTCCGGGTCTCCCACATGGGAGGCAGGGGCCCAGGGACTTGGGCCATCTTCCAACGAGCTCCCAGGCACATTAGCAGGGAGTTGAATCAGAAGTGGAGCAGCTGGGACCCAAACCAATGCCCATATAGGATGCTGGTGTCATAGATGAAGGCTTAACCCACTGTGTCACAGATGAAGGCTTAACCCACTGTGTCACAGTACAGGCTCCTTTCACCTGCACTTTGCAACACTATCAATATTCCATTCTATGAGGTGACAACAAGATAAATGTACCTGTTTCAAATTTATAGGTAATTAGGAAAGAGGTACAAAACAATGCAATATTCAGTTTGACTACAAAATACACTAAAATTATAATATATCATCAATAACATGCAACAGCGGTCCAGTATTGCAGCAGCACTGCGGGTTAACCAGCCACCTGTGACACTGGCATCCCATATGGGAATGGGTTCAAGTCCTGCCTGAGACACTTCCTATCAAGTGGGGAGACCTCGATAGAGTTCTGAGCTTCTGGCTTCAGTCTGGCCCAGTCCTGCAGTGATGGCCATTTGAGGGGTGAATGAACCAGTGAATGTAAGATATCTCTCTCCCTTCCTCACCCCATCCCCGCTTCCTCTGCTTTTCAATAAAATAAATCTGTAAAAAAAAAAAAAAAAAAAAAATGAAAAGGCCAAAAGGAGCTCATTATATATAAATAAGGTATGCTTAGACTAAATTAACTAAAACCATTTAACTGCAATAAATGATTTAATCATCTGGCTTGGTGTTGAGTCCTAAGAGCAAGACAAGACACTGAGTCTTCATATTAGGAGTCAGATTCTGGGTTAAATGTTTTATATTTTTTATCTCATTTAATCCTAACAGAAGCCTCTGAGACACATACTACATTATCCCACTTGAAAGATGAGGAAACTAAAGCCCAGAAGTAACTTTTCAAGATCTCTCACTTAATGGGCATGGCCGGCTTGTAAACAAACAAGCCTATGCAGTCAAAGTACAAGCTTCTCAACACCACATACAGAAATACAGCGGGTAAAGCCCCTGCCTGCAGTGCTGGCATCCCATAAGGGTGCCAGTTCAAGTCCCAGATACTCCACTACCAATCCAGCTCTCTGCTATGGCTTGAGAAAACAGTATAAGATGGCCCAAGTCCTTGGGCCCCTGCACCCATGTGGGAAACCCAGAAGAAGCTCCTGGCTCCTATCTTGGGATTGGCCCATCTCCAGCTATTACAGCCATTAGGGAGTAAACCAGCAGATAGAAGACCATTCTCTCCTCTCTTCCTCTCTCTCTGTAACTCTGCATTTCAAATAAATCTTTAAAAAATAATTTTTACTTTATGAACTATTAAATGTATTATCAATTCCATTATTTAATTATATGACCACAAACCTATGCATTAATGAGGAACCAGCACCATAGAATTTACTATTTCTTAATTGTCGCTAAACAGCCAAACAAATTTTTTCTTATACTTTTATAACTACTGATATTGACATCATTTTAGACTTACAGAAAAGAGTAAAAATTGTACAAAGAATGTCAATAATACCCTCAACCAGATTCCCCAAATATTAAAACTCCATTGGTATTATCCTTTTCTTTTATATGCACACAAATTATAGGGTTTTTTTTTTTAAGATTTATTTATTTATTTGTAAAGGCAGAGTTAAAGAGAGAGACAGAGAGAGGGATAGGGACAGGGACAGAGACACAGAGGTCTTCTATCCATGGGTTCACTCTCCAAATGGCCACAACAGCCAAAAGTTTCTTCTGGATCTCCCTCGTGGGTGCAGGGTCCCAGGCACTTGGGCAATCTTCTGCTGCTTTCCCAGACGCCAATAACAGGTAGCGGATCAGAAGTGGAGCAACCAGAACTTGAACTGGTGCCCATATGGGATGACAGGGTTGCAGGTGGCAGCTTAACCTGTTATGCCACAACACAAGCCCCAACAAATACAATTATTTATTTCTGAGCCAAGCTGGATGTAAGCAGCAGATGTACTACTTATCCACCAAACCACCAAACACTTCATTCAGCGGGTACTTCCTAAAGGCAACACCTTACTTACCCACTGTATATTCATCAAAATCAGGAAATTAACATTAAATACAATATTATCATTCAAATTTTATCCAATGTCCCAATGATGCTTTCCATTACAGTAAAATATAAGTTCAAAAACAAAATAAATCCCAGGCACCCATCTCTTTAGTTTCACTTATCTGAAATAGCTCCTCTGCACATGGTTTTCAGGAAACTGACATTTTTTAATAATATATGTTTTATTAATAATTTTTTAAGAATATCAGTCAACTTATATTTATCTTCCACTTCTTCACAAGAAAATGCCATTTACTTTCAGTAGGAATACCACAGAAGTGATACCATCATACACTTAATATTGAAAATTTAGAAAATATATTCTTTTTTTTTTTTTTTTTGACAGGCAGAGTGGACAGTGAGAGAGAGAGACAGAGAGAGAAAGGTCTTCCTTTGCCGTTGGTTCACCCTCCAATGGCCGCCGCTGCAGCCGGCGCACCGCGCTGATCCTGGCAGGAGCCAGGAGCCAGGTGCTTTTTCCTGGTCTCCCATGGGGTGCAGGGCCCAAGCACCTGGGCCATCCTCCACTGCACTCCCTGGCCATAGCAGAGAGCTGGCCTGGAAGAGGGGCAATCCGGCGCCCCAACCGGGACTCGAACCCGGTGTGCCGGCGCCGCAAGGTGGAGGATTAGCCTATTGAGCCACGGCGCCGGCTCAGAAAATATATTCTTACCATCAGTTTTCCAAGGATCACCATTAATGCTTCTCACAACAGACTATTATGTGATGATGTAATCAACTAAGTTCAGCCTTTGGAGTAATAGAACTGAATTCAAAACCCCTCTAGGCAGTTACTTGTGAACTTCATTGCAAGCTCAATTCATTCATTTGCAAATGAGGAATCGACTTGCCTTTCCAGATTATGGTGACAATAAAACCAAGCAAAGCACTTAGCACATAAGTAATCTCTTAACCCAAAAAGTATTTGAAATTAAGAATGCTTGAGTAATTTCCCATGGTCAATATGTGATAGTGGCAATGGAAAACTAAATTTAAACTGTAAACCTTATAAGGAACAAAATACGCCCACTACATACAATCCAGGTGATATTTGCATCAGTTGATTTTCCTAGACCATTATCAGGGAACTGGATGGAAGTAGAGCAGCCAGAAAACAAAATGGTGTCCATTTGGGATGCTGGTGTCATAGGAGACAGTTTTACCAGCTATAGCATAACGCCAGACAAAAAAGTCAATTAGATACAAGGCTCTGCCAAAATAAATTCCCTTTTAATATACATTTTAAATGACATTATCAGACACTTGATAACATACAGAATAGCCAACTTTTTGTCACTTCTTTATCTAGACCAGTGGATTTTATTTATTTATTTTCTTTTATTTGAAAGGCAGAGTCAGAGACAGAGCTCTTCTATATAGAAGAGCTGCACTCACTACCTAAATGCCTGCAACAGCTAGGGCAGAGCCAAGTCTAAGACAGGAGCTTGGAACTCAACCTGGGTCTCCCATATGGGTGACAGAGACCTAAGTGCTTAAACTAGCACCTGCTACCCTCCAGAGTAACTAATGCTGAATTCAGAACAGAGCCAACAGTCAAACCTAGGCACTTCAATATGGAATGCAGGCATCCCAATCAGCATTTATTTTACTGCAATATGCCTGCCCCTAAACCAACAGAATTTAATAATGTGAAAACAAGACTTGGGGCCAACATTATGGCTTAGTAGGTTAAGCTTTCACCTGCAACAAAGGCATCCCATAGGGGCGCCAGTTCTAGTCTCTGCTAAAGGCCTGGGAAAGCAGTGGAAGATGGCCAAGTGCCTGGGACCCTGCACCCACGTGGGAGACCTGGAAGAAGCTCCTGGCTCCTAGCTTTAGATCTGCCCAGCCCCAGCTGCTGCAGCCATTTGAATAGTAAGTGAAGACTGACTCACTCACTCACTCTCTCTCTCCTCTTCCTCCTCCTCTCCCTCTCCCTCCCTCTGTAATTCTGTATCTCAAATAAATTTAAAAAAAAATAATAAAACTCCACATACATAATCTTCAACATTAATAGGAAAAGCATAATTTCCAAACAGAACAAATAATCCAAATAAGTAACAATTCCAAAGAACCACCAGGAACCACTGAGAAGCTTTCAAATATACTGAATTATATTCTAATAAAGATATTGGCAATACACTGAACAACTATAAAAGCTAGAAAAAACACACACAAAAAAAGAGATGAATGTATCATTAGAGTGATAAAAATGTGTCAGTGAAGACACATCACTTGTAACAAATGTACAATTGTGGTACAGGGTGTCCAAAGTGGAGACAGTTATATCTACATAGGAACAGGAACTACAGGAAACTCTCTGTACCTCCTGTTTCAATTTTGCTAAAATTGAACTGGAACTTAAAATTTCTCTAAAAAATAAAGTCTATTAAAAAAAAAAGTTGTATGGTTATGGAGCCAGTGCTGTGGCACAGCCAGTTAAAACCCCAGACTGCATCAGCATCCCATATAGGCGGCGTTTTGAGCCCCTGCTGCTCCAGTTTAGATAAAGCTCTCTGCTATAGCCTGGGAAAGCAGTACAAGATGGCCCAAGTTCTTCAGCCCCTGCATTTGCACAGGACACCAGGAAGAAGCTCCTGGCTACTGGCTTCAGATCAGTGCAGCTCCAGCTATTGCAACCATCTGAAGAGTGAACCGGCAGATGGAAGACCTTTCTCTCTCTGCCTATGCCTCTCGATAACTCTTTCAAATAAATAAATAAATCTTTAAAAATCAAACAAACAAAAAGAGCCAAATAGCCAGGATTTGATGGAACAAACTCTCAGAGAAAACAGAAAACTTATTATACAGAGCCATACATTTCCCTGGGGTTGTTGCCAATTCACAGTGAGGCGTAAATGCTAGACACAAAGTGTGGCCTATAGCTTAAAGCTTTATCATTGAGCTAGGAAAAACTAGAGTTCAGAACATACCAGAGAAGTGAGGCCTTGGCAGATATCCCAGGGTTTTCAACTAAAGTGATAAAGGGCTACAACCTAGGAACAAGAGCAAACTGAAATACAATAGTGTCTCTTTGAATAAAATTATCTACCCACTCTAACTTTCAGAATAAAACATATTATCAATCAGAGTGCCTGGCGTAATACCATCCAACAGAACTTTCTGCAATGATGGAAATGTTCTCTGTCTGTACTCTCTGGACTATCTGTATGTGTGGCTACTGAGCACTTGAGAGTTGGTTTATACAACTGAGGAAATGAATTTTAAAACTTACTAATATTTAAACAATACTTTATTAGCTACAAGTCATTACTACCTAGTATACTGAATATAGCTCAAGAATTTTTTCATACTCAAAGTTCAGTGTTAGAAAAAATAAAGTTAATTTCCAAACAGGAAATATAATCAAAAGCAAAAAAAAAAAAATTAACAGAAGCATCCTCACGGTTATCCTGCTACTGAAAAGTATTAAAATGATGAATAAAATTGATAAAGTGAAGTAGGCAGGCATACAGGTTAAAATCCATTAGGTTTGTGAGCTGGAAGACCACGCCTTCACCACGCCCTTGTGTGACCTCACACCCTGATACTTTCACCACGCCCCTGTGTGACCTCATGCCCCTACTTGGCCACACCTGAGTGCCCACTGGCCAATCAGCTTAATTAACCAATCTCCTTTGGGAGTGGGTTAAAAGCCTGGGACGTGGTGTATCCGATCTCTCTCTCTCTCTCTCTCTCTCCCCTCTTTTCCCTGGCCTCTAGCCAGGAGGGGGCTGGCTGTAGCCCTGCACCCCGCCCCCAGGCTGCATGACCTTCAAGCCACCCGCCCTAGGCTTCCTGGACTAGATGCTCCTCCACGTGGCCAGTTCCTGGTGCTCAGTATGAACCCGGATTTACCCCCTCTCTCTCCCTCTCACTCTCCTATGCATCTTTTGCACTAAATAAAAGCTTAAAATGCACCAAGCTGCCTTGTTCATTTATGCCGGTATTAAGAACCCTTTCAGGCTTATTAATATTGGGGATTTATTAATAAGCATATGGTGATATCGTATGGCACTCCAAATTCCACTAACATATGTGGCACCCCAAATGGCATGGGAGACCCAGAAAACGCTCCTGGCTCCTGGCTTCAGATAGGCCCAGCTCCGGCTGTTACAGTCATTTAGACAGTGAACCAGCGGATGGAAGACCTCACCCTCTTCCTCACCTCTGCCTCTGCCTCTCTAACTCTGCCTTTCAAATAAATCTTTTAAAAAAAAAAAAATCTTGGAAATAAATGATAAAACAAACATAGCAAACTATTAATGCATGCAAATATCAATGTTTGCTATATAATCCTCTCAAATTCTATTGTATTTTTGGGAATTTCACAGTAATATATGTGTGGGTGGAGAAATTTCTTAAAATAGGTCAGTATGAAAATACACGTGGGCCAGCACCACGGCTCACTAGGCTAATCCTCCGCCTTGCAGCACCGGCACACCGGGTTCTAGTCCCGGTTGGGGCACCGGATTCTGTCCTGGTTGCCCCTCTTCCAGGCCAGCTGTCTGCTGTGACCAGGGAGTGCAATGGAGGATGGCCCAGGTACTTGGGCCCTGCACCCCACGGGAGACCAGGATAAGTACCTGGCTCCTGCCATCGGATTAGCGTGGTGCGCCAGCCGCAGTGCGGCAGCCGCGGCGGCCATTGGAGGGTGAACCAAAGGCAAAGGAAGACCTTTCTGTCTCTCTCTCTCTCACTGTCCACTCTGCCTGTCAAAAAAAGAAAAAGGAAGGAAGGAAGGAAGGAAGGAAGGAAGGAAGGAAGGAAGGAGGGAGGGAGGGAGGGAGGGAGGGAGGGAAGGAAGGGAAGGAGGAAAGGAAGGAGGAAAGGAAGGAGGAAAGAAAGGGGGAAAGGAAGGATGAAAGAAAGAAGGAAAGAAAGGAGGAAAGGAAGGATGAAAGAAAGAAAGAAAGAAAGAAAGAGAGAGAGAGAGAGAGAGAGAGAGAAAGAAAGGAGAAATAGAAGGGAAATACACAGAAGGGGAGCATAAGAAGGGGACAGCATGAGAAATACACAAAACAAATATGTAAAACTGAAACCCCAGACTGAAAGAAGAAAGAAAAATATTGAAAGAAAGATACTGCCTGAGAATTTTCTAAAACTGATAAAGGCAATGAAGTCCCAGATTCATGAGTCTATACAGGGGCAGGTGCTGTGGCGCAGTTGGTTAATCCTCCGTCTGCTGCATCAGCATCCCACATGGGTGCCGGTTCTAGTCCCGGCTGCTCCTCTTCCAATGAGGCTCTCTGCTGTGGCCTGGGAAAGCAGTAGAAGATGGCCCAAGTCCTTGGGCCCCTGCACCCACATGGGATACTTGTAATAAACACCTGGCTCCTGGCTTTGGATCAGCACAGCTCCGGCCGCTGCCGTCATTAGGGGAGTAAACCAACGGATGGAAGACCTTTCTTTCTGTCTCTCCCTCTCACTGTCTGTAACTCTACCTCTCAAATAAATAAAATCTTTAAAAAAAAAAAAAAAAAAAAGAAAAGAAAAGAATCTATACAAACTC